GCCTGTGGACTTTTCTTGTCGGGTACTGGACCTATGACTTTTGACGACCAAACTACCGGACTTTACCGGACTATGACACTTTGGCCTCTAGACCCTACTGGACTCCTACGACTCTGGTCTTTGGGACCTACCAGGACCAACTGGGACCGGGCCCAGGTGGGACTTTGGGACCCGGACTCGGGCATGGACAGAGCGTGAAATCCTTTCACATTCGAGAATAATAATGAATGTGGAAGAAGAGAAAAAAGGAGGTTTTGATGCTCCTGACCTCCGGGTTCGACCAGTGTATGTATGCTTATTAAGCGAGGGAGAAAGAAACCCAAGTAAGGATCAGACTCATTGGATGAAACCAACTGAAGATGGGACTCGTTGGATGCCAGGCCTTTTTTTTTCCCAGTTTCGCCTTGTTCCTCTGCTTTGTAAAGGAGGTAAAAAGGAGGTTCTGATGCTCCTGACAGCCAGGTTTGAACTCCTGAACTGAAGGCGATGAGCAACTGGCCTAGCTCAGTTGGTACACCCCTGATTTGTTGAAATACAGACCTTAGTTCGAACTCCACTGAAGCCGATGGTTAACGTACTGCCATTCTGAAATACCTAGGGCCGGTGGGTTCAGTGATGATATCTCAAGGCCGTACCCCTTTATAAAAACAGGTGGACCCGACGTGGCGAAGCTGTGCCCCAGGCCCAATCCTGCTGATGTACGGCAGGATCGGACCGGGCGGTCCCATGTGGGACAGGCATACTTTGTGGCCTGGATGGTGCCAACACCCCTTCTCGCCCCCCGCTCCTCCTCCCCTGCCGCACTGCATGGGCAGGGTTGCAGAAACGGCGCCCGCCCCCCAAAGAAAATCCCCGGCCCATTGTACACACCCATACCGTCGGTATAGGGCCTCCCTCCACTACTCAACAATCCAGGCTGGTTTGTAGTTGTATTCGGACGTGCTGCAAAGAGGTGTCACTTGGGATTGTCCAAGCTGCTGTGTACTTGTATTCAAACATGCTGCGAAGATGCGTCACTCCAACATTTTCCAAGAAGATGCGTCACTCCAACATTTTCCAAGCTGCTGTGTACTTGTATTCAAACGTGCTGCGAAGAGGCATGACTCAACATTTTTCCCAAGCCGCTGCATACTCGTGTATTCAAATGTGCTGCGAAGAGGTCTAGTGCACTGTTCCAGCCTGAAACACAGCAGTGGCGCCGGCGAAAGCCCAGCCGCAATCGACCACAAAAGCCTGGGTGCACCTGGAATCGAACTCGGGGGCTTCAAACAAAACGGCACCGGCGAAAGCCTGCACGCCTCGATTCCAACTGGCAGACTTCGAACAAAACGCCGCGAAACCCCCTGTGCGCCTGGACTCGAATTTGGGGGTTTCAAACGGAACAGCTCCCGGCAAAAACCGATTGGAAAAAGGACCGGAAAACCCTGCATGCCTGGATTCTAACTTGCGGACAACAACTGAAAAAAAACGATAAAAAAAGGCTGCCAGGTCGCGCGGTGTCTCTGTATTTGAAAATTTGAGACGTCAACTGAAACAACACCCACGCGCGGCGTGCACCCGCAGGCTTGCCAACCCCCCTACTGGTACCCAATGGGACCAGAAGGCCCTCTGCGAACTATAACGCCGTTTTTCCAACAGTGGCAACCCGGGAAGAAGGGCGTAGTAAGCGACGAAATGCTTCGGGGAGTCGAAAACAGGCATAGATCCAGAGATTCCCTAATGGGAAAAAACAGATTTAGCCTCTCCTAAAATTTTGCAGGCCATGGACCGTCGATCAAATGAATCAGCGGTTCCTGGCCTCCTATTTTTTTAGGAGAGGCTCTATCTGCTTTTTTGGATGTACTGGTGGGTCCACACAACTCTACACCCTGTTTGATGTGGCAGACTGAGCCCCGAAAGTCACAGTGCGTGCACAGCTGCGACAGAACAATGTGCATGCAAAATGCACTACTTGTGGTTTAAGCTTCACAAAGCGATAGGGGTTCAAACTTCAAAACTTTCTAAACTCTTAAGGTCGTCTCGCTGCATCTGCCTCATTCTGAAGGATGTGCCGCAACTCATGGCGGGGCTGCACGACCATTTTTTTTGGTTTCCTTTTTTGGTTTTTGCGTTGGCCACATTTCGGGTGTACTGGAGCAGCCGTCGTAGTACTTTTCAGGGGCGCAGATTTTCCGTGCTCTGCCTGCTGATGCATTGCAGCAGATGTGTCGCATATAGTGACGGTGGATTAAACAGGTTAGACCACGACGACTACCTTTTCGCGCCCCCCTGTGGTTTTTGTGGGCACCCTGCCCTTTTTTCAGCTGATCTGCAGGGATTGACGATCCGACGGCCACAAAAATTCTCTTTCCCCTGCGTCTGCAGCTGTTGGCCCCACTTTTCAGGTGGTAGTTAGTGGCAGTGAGCAAACTCTGGTTACTTACTGCAAGGACTGGGAAAAGGCAGGGCGCACTCCTGTAAGTGACCAGAGTTTGCTCAGTTTTTGCAGCAAGTAACCAGAGTTTGCTCACTGCTGCAAACTCACAAACTCAAGTGAAAGGGGCAGTAGTGGTGGGGTTTTAAACTTTAAACTGTAAACCGCCAGTCAATTGGCAAGCGGCACCGTAGATTTTGCTTGTACATGAGTATTGGGCCCAAATCTACAGTGCCCAGGCTCGGTGGGAAGGGGCAACAACCGTATAATTTTTTCAAAGGCTGTAGAATCTAACCTCTTCTGAAATTCAAAGGCAAATTTTGGTTCATCAATTTAGCTTCGAATGGACTGGTGGTTTAACACCAGAGGTTGACTTTTAACCAGAGTTTGACTTTGGTGGGCAAACTATGGTTACTTGCAAGTTGCAGCAAAGACTGAGAAAGAGCTCGCTCAAGTGAATGTAACATCTTTCTCTCTCTTCCCTTCATGGGGTGAAGTAGATATAACATCTGTCTTTCCTGTGTGTTGCTGGGCTCAAGTGAATGAAAGATGTATCTCTTTTATCCTGCGGATTCTGCGCTGATGACTTTTTTTCTTTTTTTTTCCAAATCTGTTTTGGATCTGTTGACGTGGGGTTCACAACTTGGTAGCGGATTTCGCGGTACGAAGGAGATCTTGTGTCAAAGTGCTATTACGCGAAGCGGAAGCTGGTTTGGGAGGTGCTAGACAATGGGCTCAAGAGTAAGATCGAGATTCAGTGGTCGGATATATGCGGTTTGAAGGCGAGCTGCCCGGAAGACTTGATCGGCATGCTTGAGATCGAGGTTTCCCTCTCTCTCTCTCTCGCGCGCGTCATTTCCTGTGATTGTGAGCTGCCTTTTTTTAATGTTTGTTTCTGTTGACGTCTTTGGTATTGGCAAAAATTGTCTGTTGAAGTTTTGATTATTGAGCATTTTTGTTGACGTCTCTTTGTTGTTCACCATCTTTTCCTTCTGTCATGTTCAGTGGAGGAGCTTCCTGACCTCGTTTCTTTCTTTCTTTTCTTTCTTTTTCTTTTTTTTTTTTTTTTTTTTCTTCTTCGAAAGGGAACAAGGCCTTATTTCCATGTCTCTTGGCTCTCTTTGCGGATTTACCCCTTGCCCCGCTCCTTTTTTTGGGGGGCGCGGGGTGGGGAGTTGGAGGGGGGAGGTGAACAACTTGGTATGGAGGATTGGACCCCTGCCACATTTTTTGTCGTCTTGTGGTAGCACGGGTCAGCCAGGACCGCTGTTCTTTTTTTTTTTGGATAACTAACTTGGACAGCGAGAAAATGAACACCAAAGTACGGAAAAACTGGTGGTGAGGGTGTATGTTACAGGTTTGGAGGAGGAGGAGGAGGAGGAGGAGGAGGAGGAGGAGGAGATACGAAGTCCACATGATCCCATCTCCACTTGCTCGGTTTGCTTGTGTTGCTTGATTTCCTTTTCCCTTTTCTCTGGGTTGCTGGATCATTTGTGAAGTTTGTACTGAAAAACAAGCTGCTGAAGCTTCCATGGACAAGTCAGGGGCAGCGCATCTTCGCTAAATTGAGCTTTGTACCGAAACAAACAAGACACTTGGCAGTTGATGATGGATAAGAAGTATTAAAAGTTAATATCATCCAGAAAGTGAAAACTTAAAAGTTACTAGAACCTTTGGAAGCACTGTGGTATTATCAATAACACAACAAGATTACTTCAATGCTTCCAGTGTCAAAAACGGCAGCATTATAGCCTCCCCCAAGCCTTCCCCAAGCGCCCCCTTCCCCC